GGTGACAAGGTATAGGTCCATTCCCATGATTTAGCTCAATTTGCCTATTAACCTTTCTAAGCACCTATCATTTATCTGATTGCTGATGACGCACTAAAGAATCATAGACTCATAGACTTATAGGGCTGGAGTGGGCCCTCTTGGGTCATCTAGGCCAACCCCCAACATAATTCGTTTTTATTGCACATGCACGCTTTTCAGACAATATAAAAAAGAAATAGTCTAAATAAGATTTTGGGTAAAATAAATAGGTTTTATGGGGAAAAAAGGAAAATGTCCATGAAGATTTAAAAAGGTTTGTGGGGAGAGAACAGAAAATGTATTCCTTTTGATATATTGGTATTTTTTTCCCCCTACCTTTGCCTCTCTTTTTTAATGTTGAAAAATGAAACAAAAAGCCATGAGGAAGGCAAACAAGGTGGGGAGGGGACAGAAATCCCTTACAAAATAGTTTTTTCTTCATAAAACAGGAATTTTTTTAATGTAAGATTTCATTTTCATAATTTAGGGTATTTTATCCAAAAAGAACTGGGAGGGAAATGTCTGTTTGCCATGGTAGCAAATAGTTTATTCACTCAGTTGCATAAAATTACCTGTTTTCTAGATACACACAGTCTAAAAAGGTGCACCTGCATCCACAAAAACCCTGCTGACTTATGCTTGGGGCTATTTTGTCACTCCCTTTATGGCAGTTACAGCAATGGAGGTATATGGGATGGCCTAGAAAGATCTGGACATAAACCCTAATTTAAATTATGCCATTATTCATGACAATGTTGTACGCCGTCGGGTAGTTAATGCAGTCCATTAGGTTAAAACTGGACTTCATGAATTAATGTAAGGAGGCTCAGGAATCTCTAATTCTGATTAGGAAGTACTTCCATTTGGCACATACTCCCAGCTTCTTGAATAACTCTTGAAGAGCATCATCCTTATCACTCATGCTAGTGAACAAGCAAGGAGAATCATGTTGGTTTTAAGCACTAGAAAGGCTCACAAGGGAAAATCAATTTCTGCTAACTGGAAAAGCAAAGAAGTAATAAGGGAAGCCATTTTTCAAGTAGAGTACTGCACAGGAATGTGTTGGGGGTGGAAAATAAATGAATGCTAGAATTTTTTTTTTCTTTCAGAAGTGCCACGTGTCTCCGTTCTGGAGCGTCCAGCCTGAGGCTGATTATTTGGGACCTGAGTTTCAAAGAGGGCTCATTTTTCAGAAGGCTTCTGTCTAGGACGGTGTTCAAAAGGCAACATCCTCAAAATCAGTAGTCCCTTTTGAAAATATGCCCCTAGTAAAAAGGAACCAGCTATATCTTAAAATCGTCTCTTCCGTTGTTATTAGCAAGTTCAGCTGTTAAACAATGCCTAATTCTTCACCATAACAATAGAGAAAGTATACTGCACTGCACAATTCTGCTTTAAGATGGGATTTTTTAGCAGTGATGCTGTCCAGGCCCATATTTACCTTTTCTGCATCACGCAAAACAGATATGCTGTGCTTTATGGTCCGGGACAGACATTACATACACTAGTTTGACCCAAATCAGTTAACTCTGATACTACATTCAACCAGGTTTATCTCAAACCGGTTTCAGCCATTTTCAAACTGGTTTATGTGCACTAAACATCTGTTCTACTACAGGTTTAAACCAGTTTCTGATCACTTAAAACAGTTTATGTCCCTAGCCTACAAGTCAAGGCTTGAATTTTTTTTTTTTCCCCCTCTCTCTTCTCGCAGTAGACAAACAAGGAACGATCTGAAACACCAGGTTGTATTCTGTTTAGTTCCTAAATCACCTCCAGTTATAAATATGCTGTGCCCAGAATACATCTGCTAGTTATGTTCAAGGTGAAAGAAATTAATAGTATCTCTAATAAGTGGTATTGACTGAAAGGTTCTAATAATAATAGAAAACAGTATGTTCTGTCTGCAAAGTATGTATTCCTTACTTATTATTTCATTTATAAATTGTACCGGCCATCTGCAACCAGATAAACAACCACAAGACGTCACATGTATTCACACAAGGAGAAGCTTAAGCTTAAACATCCCAGACTGCAACAGAAAATATCTCCGTCCCAAGTCAACTCCTTGTTGCGATAGCTGGAATAAATAGATGACCAATGTTTCAGTCAAGGGACCTGTGCTACATAAATATGATCAGGCTGAGAAACAAACTGCAGGGAGGGTATTTTCATGGAAAGTGCTCTGTTGTTTGCACCTAGAGCTACCGATCAGAGCTATGGGTTGTTGGCAAGAGCACTGTAGATGATCATACGCATCACAGATAACAGATGAGGGTTGGAGAGATGTAAAGGGCTGCTTAAAACCCTGAATATTGCCTTAAGAGACTTCCCTTGGTGCAAAAAGAGAGGAAGGCAACTACTATCTTCTAGGAACTAACTCATTAGCCCTCATTGGGAAATCTGAGAAGTAAAGATTATCAGAGGCAAAGCTGAATCGCTGGAGCATTGCCTTGACTTGACCACACAGGATTGTCCAATTAATGCTCCAGAACAGCCCAAGTCAGGAAAACTTGAGGGTCCTTTATCCTAATTTCCCTGGCTGTAATGTCTACTGCAGCTGGAGAAAAGATGCTTCTGCTTTATATCTATATGTACAGAGGAAAGGCAGAAAGGGCTAAGGTTATTTAGCCTGGAGAAGAGAAGACCAAGGTGGGATTTGGTAAAGCCTTCCAATACTGGAAAGGCAAGTCCAGACAGGATGGAGATGGGCTTTCCTCTATGCCTATACGTCTGGGACAAGGAGCAATAGCCTCTAGCTTCAGCGGGGGAAATTTAGATTAGAGATTAGGAGGAACTTGCTGACTATGAGGGTGGTCAAGCATTGAAGCAGGTTACATAGAGAAACTCTACAATATCCATCCTTGCGAGTTTTCCAGACAAGTTTAGACAGGCACTTGGCTAGGGTGATTTATTCAGGGATGCTCCTGGCATGTGCAGGGGGCTGAACTAGACCTTGTGAGGTCCCTTTCAGCCCTACTTTCCTATGATCCTATGATTTCCCAGAAGTTTAGCATAAAATCTCACCTGTGTGTGAGAGGGTGGTCTTTGGGCCTCCTAGGTCATGTCTATACTGTGATGCACTACTATGAAAATACAAACTGCCCAATCTGCTGGAAAAAAAAATGTCATGTAGTTATTTCTTTAGTGCATTCCCTGCTCTCAATCATGGGCATGCTCATGAGAGTGGTGGCTATGAACATGGTAGTATGGTTTCCACCCCAAAGTTGGGCGTGTTTGCATGACTTGACTCCTTTGTATGTCACTGACAAACTAAGCCCCACCCACTCACTCCTGTTGAAGCATGTCCAGAATCTCATTGGGTCTTTAGCTTGCCAGAGGAATGAGTTGGGCAGGGCTTAATTTGTCAGTGATGTACCTGGGTAGAAAAGCATAGCCATGCCCTCCATGACATTATTTTTGTGTGCAGAACATATGGAGCAGGGCCCGAGCGGGCAGGACATGGTTTTCCAGTGGTGTTCCTTAGCATGGTCCAGTGCAGTGTAGACATGCTTTAAGACAGATAGGACTAAGGATATATACTATATATTTATTAAACATATATACACCACATATACATTAAAAGCAGCCCCTCAATGTTTTACCTAGATGCGAGAAAAAAAGAGCTGCCGCGTACTGTGTGCCATTTGTGAAGGCCTACAAAGGACTCGTCCTTTTTAGGATTGTGATGTAATCTTGAACAAGCCCTCCAAATGGTGGCACCCCCCCCCCCCCCCCCCGGGTGCAACAACTCAAAGCACTCCCAATGCCTGTGCCCTGCTGTGCAGTGCTGTCCCAAATGTGGACAGTCTAGCCGTGGTCTGATTCATCTTGCAAGACGAATTCAACGTCTGCTCAAGCTGTTTGTGGGACCCCCAGGTACAGGTCAAGGCTGCCTTCTCCTGCTCGAATGCCCAAAGGGATTTTGCCAGAAAACATCTGAACTCTCAGAATACTCCAGTGTGTGGCCTTCTTTGACATGACTTGACATGGGTTTGTATAGACAACCCCAGAGTAAACATGCTTTCTCCTGGGATCCTGTTGGAGGAAGGAAGTCGCACACAACCTAGAAGCTGACTTCTGTGAAGTCCTCGAGACCTCCCAGGTCAGGTACATCCCCCCTCTATACAGTCTGTGGATCCCCATTGGATCTTTCAAATTGTTTCTGCAGCTCGTCCCCTGCTTTCCAACCCCAGAGAAATAGTGTCCTGCTATGGCACACAGGATGCCATGATTCATCTCTCCACTGGGGTACCTTGTGGCTTCCAGGGGTGGCTTAGAGATCATTTTGAAGATACAAAAGCAGATATTGCGCTGTTGATATCACATAAGGCTATCGCCTTTGCATGAATGCTTTTCTGGGTGTAAGCCCGCAGAAAAATGAGAAGATCCATCCCTGTGAGGGGCAGCGGTCATGCATAAAGTTTTGAAAAGTATTGTGGAGAAAGCTGAACTGAGAAGCACATCAGTCAGTGTCTGTGAACATTTTCTTATAATAACTCAGTTATGCAAAGTTGTGGAGAAATCCCTGCCGTTACCTTGAGACTGCTTGGACACAACAGGCTCTGACAATAATTTCTGTTTCCCTAATTACTGCTTCTTTGTAATTGTTATCCACAATACATAACATTAATTTCCATTCAGTAGATTCTTCTCTTTCTCTTTGCACAGTTTCGGACTGTAGAAAAGCCACATATATATTTTTGCTGCATAACACAAGTGCCCTGCAGCCAGCCAGGGTGTTCAGTTTTAAACGGGTCTGTGAAGCAACACACCACAATTGTCAGTGCCATCCAGTGCCTTTTATTTCTCTTGTTTATTTTCTGCTTCATTCAACCAGCTGACTTGCGTGGAAATTGCATTCAGTCGTGTCTGCTTTCCATCGTTGTGCCGTGTCTCATGAAATGTGTTTGATACTGACATACCTTGGCCTGTTCACAATATGCTGAAAAAAATGCTAATTTTGTCATATTTAGCAGCTGCGTTCAGAAATGCTACTGTAAGCCTAAGAGGGCTAACCAGCACTCTTGCAAGATGTCAGAACTATCCACCATTACCCTGTAAGTGTACGCACTCCTGTGACATTACCGTGTTTGTATGACGCATGTTGCACATACGGGGGTTGTGTTAGCAGAGGGGCAGAATCTCGAGGGAAGCCGTGTGTTATTTCTTGTTGCATGTTGGAGTTGTGTTGTTGTTCTGTGCTTTTGCTGATGCATCACAAGCAGGAATTTTTAGGATTAGTTGTTTGAAATGTATCAGTGTATTGACCATCACCGCTGACTGTTTTGAATAGCAGAACAAAGGCCTGGTTCGAGACCTAAGGCCTGGTTCGAGACCTACTGAAGTCAAAAGGAGTCTTTTCAATGACTAGGGCGGGTGTGGAAAGCGTCTATGGCATGTGTAGAATGTCTGTATGCAAACTATGAACCAGTCTACCTAATTTTTTAAAGCAATAATTATGAAGCATTATGTAGCAAAGTGGTTAGGTCTCAGGACCTTAGGAAAAATGGTCTGTATTTGAAAATTTAACGTAACAACATCAGGGTGATTGGGCAGAGGGGGAATGAAGCAGACTCAGAGCTGGCCTAAATTAGCATAGCTGCATAAATATCAATGGAGCTAAGGCAATGAATGCCCATGATATGTTCATTCTATCTTTGCTTAAACCATATGCTGTGCTGACTGTCTTTCACTGGAAGTTCGCGGTTGAGTCTGTTGATCTGAATCCTGCACTGTCAAAAAAAAGGGCCGCTACACTGATCATCAGTAAAACAGAGCCTTATGTTCCCTTTCTTAACATTTGCACACATTCTCCTTTGCTTTCCAAGTTGCTCCAATTTAAGCCAGAAAATATAACTTTCCAACATTATCTCTTTTCTCAATGTGTTTGCAAAAGAGTAAGGCAGGAATCTGCCCCAAAGAGTCAGCCAGTGCACTGATTCTGAACAAAAACGATCCAAAGAAATAAATGCGGGGAGGACGGGAATTGATCAACAAGAAGAACTGGCTTAATACAAGACAGGCTTGTGACCTGAGAACAAAATAACAGTTTTGCCAACTCTCGTGTTTTTTGGCGTTGTTCTTAAAGTCTGCGCTTCAGGAATGTGAAACCTGTAGCTATATTTATATAGAAATATATAAATAGATATAAAAGAAAGAGCAACGTTTTTTCACATTCCTGAAGCATAGACTTTAAGAACAACACCAAAAATCATGAGAGTGGACGACACTGAAATAGAAACCTATATTACTCGTCTCAAATCATTGCTTTGGGGGAGTTCACAATGAAGCGATGTGTAGTTCCCTTGTTGGCCTGCACAAGAATAAATTTGTCCTTGAGTTGTTGCAAGGTGGTAGGTTGAAAGCCTTAAAAACTGAAGCCTTCTAGTGAATGGAAGAGAAGCCCATCACAGACAGCAGCCCCCAATAGGTTATCTTACCAGCATACCTCAGACTTTTCCTTGAGGCTTCCTGTCTAGGGTGGAAGACCAGTTTAGTTATGTTATGCTTTTGCTCTGCACTTAAGCTATTATTTCAGGCAGAAAAGAAACTCTCTTGGAAAGCTTTTTCTTATGGTATGGGGTGTGGACACACAACAAGATTGCTATGGACTCCTTTATCCTCTGTGTTACTCTGTAGCAAAATTACTTTGTAGGGGGCCTGTCTGCATGTGCAATTAATGCGCAGCAATAAACTCTGCATATCACTCCAGAGTTTATTGCTCCTGGGTGCCGTGTTTATATATGTGCCTGGGACTGCAGCACATTGAGCCTGGTTGGGGCTGCTCCAACCTGGATCAACATGCTGTGGAGGGGCTGGCTGGGGCATGACGGTGCTCCAGTGTAGGGCTAGCCAGCGGGTGGCCCCTGCGCTGAAGCACCCTCATGCCCAGCCAGCCTCATCAGCATTTACATATGCGTTGCTTCGCACTAAAGAACTCCGCAGTAGGATAGTACTTGTAAATATGAGTACTATCCTGTGGCAGAGTTCATTAATTTACTGTGGCCGAATAGAGTCACATGTACAGATGCAGAGGCTTTTACTGTGGAAGTAATATGCTAACTCTGCAGAAAACATCTCATGTAGACATGCCCAGTATGGAGTAAACTGGCCACTGCAGAGCTTCACCACTAATTGGCAAGGAAGCCAGTTTGCATGGCTACCGAGGACGAAGCCGATCACGGGAACAGACACAGGGCACATTCCACTTCCCCATGCAGTCGCGTTTCTAACTTGACTCACCGTTTTAGTGATCTATGAGATCGTAGGGCTGTGTGTCACGTGTCTGCTCCATGTTTACTACATAGGACAGATAATTTACTAGCTAGTAATTGTCTTGTGTCTCCACCCACGTCCAGTTTCCCCCCCAAAATTGCACCCAAAACCCCCAGAAATATTTTTCCAAGTCCTAACTACCTATACATACAGTTGAGAATAGTTTTAGTAGTGCCATCTAGTGATTTCCACTAACATTATTTTCAGCTCCAAATGGTAACACGCTTCTACATTGCTTTCGCTCTCCCTCTTGATACACTTTGTCCTTAGTTTGCCAGAAGTATCTTGTTATTAATGTGAATCCTTTACTCCTGTTCCCACTCTGCATAATTCCTCTACAACCTTGTTTTACATCCTGTAGATCCTTCATACCAATGTTTCTAATTAGTCTCCTCCTCTTTTTTTTTTTCCAGTGTTTCTGAGACTTTTCTTATTTCCTAAGCTAAAGATATATTCTGAGTCCACAGAAGCAGTGTGGTTTGGTCTGAGGTGTTGAGCATCATAAATATGATCCATAGTGCACAAGCACCTTATGACTCCCATGTGCTTGTACAGGTAGCTGATGACAAGCACTTTGGCACATTCAAGCTGTGTTCAGGAAAGAGGAATGAGGAACAGGACAGGGAGGAGAATATAGTTGGGTGGGAAAACCCACTGTCATCAATGAGCCAGTGTCACATTTTTCATTTTGCAATAGGTACAACCATATCAATGTTGCATTTATAGGGGTGAGGAGGAACTCATCTAGAATTTGGCAAGGGCTTCTATCTTTGCTTATTTGCCCCCTTTCCTTCACATCTCATTTTAAGGGAAGTGATCATGTGCATCTATCTAAGTGGTCCCATCTTTCATCGATCTTTCATTCTCCTTCTAGAGGGAAATGAACCTCTAGAGAAGGAGGCATTCATTTTTGCAGCTTGTACCCTTTATGGCCAGCTAGGTGTTCATTTGTCTTGAGATTTCTGTGTGTTTACCCCATAAAAACTCAACATATACAACAGCACAAAGAAAAAGAAGTGAAAGATGGTTCCTGATAACGGCATGCTTCCTCACCAAGCACAGGTGGGAATCGACCTTGACTGAAGTGGGACTTGATGCATAGGCCTCATGCTGGAGCTGTGTATTAGAGTCACTTTTATCCCTACAGAGTTAACAATTTACTAGTACATCCATTGGTTTCCTATAGTCCTTTTCTAGCCTCATTGGTCCTGCTTTCCTTCTTTACCCATTTAGCATGGAGCAGCATCATTGACATCAATGGAATTGTATGTGTTTTCCACTAGTATTAATGAGTAGGCTTTGGGGCAGTAGGGCCAGGGTTGCATAATACTACAAGGACCTTTTCTCTCTCAAGATAAGCTGAACTCAAAGATGATTCAAGGCTCTGTACTGAAGAAGGCAATTGTCTGGTGGACCTGTAAATGATATGGTATCGTGCGTGGTGTTGTACATGTCCTTAATACAAGACAGTCCTGCCTATAAGAACATAGTCAAAATAGCAGAATCGAATAGTATTTCTACTGAGTTGATTGATACACATACCTAGACTGCAGCGGGGTAGCGTCAGGAAGGCTGAAGAGAATACAGGGGCCGTGTCTACATGGGATGCTTTACTGCACACTTAATTAATCTACTGCACAGTAAAGCTTCACTGTCTACATGTGCAGGGACTTACTGCGCAGTAAATTAGTCTACTGTGCAGTAAATTTACTACCTGCACATGCATCGTAGAAGGCATCTGCAGGTAGTAAATTTACTGAGCAGTAAAGCCAAATAGCATTGATTGCACATGTAGACGTTCCCAGTAAGTGTGTAGTTAAGGGCGAGAAGATATGGGAACGTTGGAAGTTTTTCTCCTCCAACAGAACGAGTCTCTCTTCTCAAAGCACTAGATTTGTTGCCAAAATGCGCTCACCTGCTCTCTGTTTGTTGTCACAGGAGGCTGGCTCGCTCCACGCTGCTGCTGATCCCCTTGTTCGGAATTCACTACACTGTGTTCGCCTTTTCTCCTGAAAATGTCAGCAAGCGGGAGAGACTTGTGTTTGAACTGGGGCTGGGATCTTTCCAGGTGAATATGCAGTGACTGTTGCTTTTGTTGAGAAGAAAGGTGCATTCATTCTGATGGCTGGGTATGAGTCTCTCTCTGCTGTGTGCTCATTCACCTCTGATGCACACTTTCCAGACGAGTTTATTTTATTTTTTTCGTCTCCAGCTGCTTTCTAACGTTTCCTAGAGGATTTAAATTCATAGTCTCTTCTCTTGTATTTATCCAGGGCTTTGTTGTTGCTGTTCTCTATTGTTTCCTGAACGGGGAGGTAAGACTTTTGATGCTGTATGTTTTCCTCTTGTTGTGTTTAGCATGGCATTTTCTTCCCGTCGCACCTGCCATCCTACCTCTTAGCTCTAATTCATTATCTACCCCACTTGTTTCCGAGGGCCAAATCTCACAGTGCCTTCAGCAAAAAAGAAAGGGAGCATGTTTTTTTTTGATAAAGCGTTGGACTTGAAGTCTCCTTGTTGTGGTTCTTTTCCTAATTTTTCAGGGTCTGCAAATCATCTCCACCTCTGAGAGGAGCATTGGGTATTATGACTGTATTAGGATTTATCCTTATTATGACTGTACTATGATTTATCTGTAAGCTAGGGCCAATATTAACTTATAAGGCCCTGAATACCTCAAATACATGTTTTGGGCCTAATTTTATTGTTTATAAAATACTTTGAGATGCTTGAAGGAATGGGAACCACCAAAACATAAAGGATTACTATATATGGCAGGGATTTCTTCTCAGAAATCCCAGGTTTAGCTAGTATTATGTAAGTATTTCCAGTGATTTGCCATATGCTATTTTTGCAGTTTCCATAATAATAATGACATTATTTAGGCATATTTTAAAGTGCACTTTCTCAGTGTTGGACCTTGGCATAGTGAGTGGAGAGATATGAATTGCCTCCATGACCATGGCGTTTCTCATTCTTGCCTTTCTGTTACTGTAGCTTTGAACCTATCTTCAAAGTAGTTCTGCTAAGTGTTCCAGATGAGTCCCTGGGATATGAAATCATGGCATCATTTTGTATGAATAAGGAAACAACATTAAAACATGGGACCCAATCCTCAAATAATATAGACTGGCTTTGGACAGTGGCTTGACAGTAATTTATTCCTGCCACCATGATAAGCAGCTTCTTTAGAAAAAAAAATGAATTACATATAAAGAGTTTTTCCAAAGCAATTTTACATAAGGTTTAGCACATTTTTTATAGAGGCAAACCTACAGTAATCTACATATGTAAAATGTCTTCATAATGTAGTTAGACGGCATATAAGTACGTTTGCAGATATTATCCATCCACTAAGATAAAGGAATGCATCTTCATGTATGTACATGCATATTTGTGTGTGTTTTCTGCAGCATACTTCTAATATTTAGCATTGATGAAGAGTTTTTTGCTAAGCCCAGGATTCAATTGGGTTCCTTAAGTGTGGGCACCTGAATTCCAAAGAGCGATTCAATTGAGAAAAACTCAGTAACTGCCTGAATTCATTAAGCACCTCCATTTAGGACTGCAGAGTTCCTGGGGTCTTTGCACTGGAGCTTTGGAGGGCATTCAGAAGCAATGTAGGTGGTGTGAGGTCAACATGTAGGTGGTGTGAGGTCAACTCAAGTCAAAGGGAAGGTCTTTTCATTGATTTCATTGGCTTTGGGGGTTCAGGCCTTGCGGAATAAATAATGAATGAATTGCAATCACAAGGAAGAGCAGTCTATTGAAGGAAAAGGATGCTAGATCCTACACTTTTCTTGAGGATGGTGGATTGATGATTTATAGGTCGCTGTTCCAGAAGTGAAAAATAAAACGTCATAGACCATATCACATCTCTGAGGGTGAAGTCCTGGATAAACTGAAGTTAATGGCCAAGCTTTCATCGATTTCCAATGTCCAGGGTTGCACAGGCAAGACCCATAAAGATGGCTCATTGCCTGGTGTTATGAAGGAGTTGTCCTCGTGAGCAGTGCTCCATAAGGGTTCACTATACAGTGTCTTGCCTCTGCTTCTAAATCAGGAGTGGCCAGCCTTTGGCCCATGCTACAAGTGGCATGGACAGCCTCTGTGTGGCAAATGCCAGATTAGAGAAGAGACAGGCAGCACAGTGACAGATGGAGAAGGGAGGAGAAAGCAGAGCAGCAGATCAGGCAGGTAGCAAAAAGCAAGCGCAGTAGACCGGACTGGTGCTTGGGGAGGGTACGGGGCTAATTTGTGGCATATGTGCCAAAAGGTTAAATCCCACTGTCCTAAAGCATCTAGTACTGGCCACTGCTGGGTATGAGGGTCTAGATACCTGAAGAGGACTGACCTCAAGTCTGTAGAAGTTAATGGGCTTCAGAACAGTAAGTAGATACATCGCTATGGTGATCCCCATGTTTATTAAATATCAAAGATCGTAGCACCGAACACAGATGGAAGGTGAAGTCTGCTCCCATTGCATTTCACCACTAGTCCCAGCTTCTTTGAACCTTAGCTATCACTGAGCTGAGAAATTCAAGGCTGGCCTGAAACGAGTGTTGATTTTGAAAACTTGATGATCTGCCAGCATGTACCCGAGCGGCTAAGTACATAAAAAAATGACCTTTTAAAGTTTCTCCCTAAAGGTGCAATCAGAAATAAAGAGGAAATGGAGGAGCTGGAAAGTCAACCGGTATTTTGCTGTGGATTTCAAACATCGCCATCCCTCTCTGGCGAGCAGCGGAGTGAACGGGGGGACGCAACTCTCCATTCTGAGCAAGAGCAGCTCTCAGATTCGGATGTCCAGCATAAATGCGGAGAATCTAGCGACCTGAGCAACTAAAAAGCAAGCCGACAGTCCAACCAAAAAACCCGCCCCTTCAAAAAGAAAAGAAAAAAAAATCATAGTTTTGGTGGTGTGGATTTTCTTTTCATTGTTTTTTATGTTGTTCAAAAGCATGAAATAAAATGCCCCTGACATTTTGAAGAGGAGAGGGGGGAGGGGAAGGGGGGGGGAAAGAAAAAAAAAAACACAATATTTTTTTAATGATCACTGTAAATACATGACAGAGTCCCATCATTCTTGATGACAACACTAGGCCATGCCCACCCATCCCTCCATGCTCCTGAGCACCTGCACATGATCCATAGTCAGCCAAAGTGTAACAAGTGATTCCTGTGCAGTTGTGATCATTGGCTGCCCTTCTGGTTTAAATCTGTGACTGGACGTTGTCATGGTTATCCTGCTTTGTTTCGTTCTGTTCTTTTTCCAATCAAGTGCATCTTAACCACACCTCATCCCCATCTTTTGATGTGCAAGATATTTTCAGTGCGCCTTCTTTGAGTCTTAAGCTAGAGTTATGAAGTGTGGGCTGGTATTGCCGGCAAGTTCAGGAAAGACTCTGGAAATGGATTTCCTGGCTGGGCTTGGTCAGAAGCAGCCAGTGGATTTGATCGTCTGCTGGGGTTAAGCGAGACGACGTAGCTGTCACCATTCAAGAGAGAGGGAAATTCCAGACAGCAAAGACGAGAGTGAGATCATCTGGTGCAACTACGTGAAACATAGCTGCTGGCATTCAGCAGAGAGGACTTCAGGTCGCAGAGATGGGGGTCTGTTCTTTTTTCCCCCTCTTCCACCAAATGTTTTAGGGAATGTGTATGTTCTAGGCAAACTGTGAATTTTCTAAAAGGGCCGTACTTTTGAGATATATCTATATTTTTGGAGTGGATTGTTTGGATCTTTGGATAATGTGAAAAGAAAAAAAACAAAAGATTTTATTTCCCATGGTAAAGGGCAAAGGTCACTTGCAGTATGTGCACCTCCTCTAGATTCCCCAGGAACCCCTGCATCCACGTGCGTCCCGTGGCACTGCTTTTGATAGTGGCATGACACATCTTACATAAAGTGTGTTGCTGCTGTGATAGAGCTCCTGGTGCCAGTATTGGGACTCAAATTTGCCAGCACAAGAGGCCCCATGGAGGTCTGGCATGGCGAGTCTTGGAAGGTAAATGTCATCAATGGTGGTTGAACACTTAGGCTGAACAATGGGATGCTCCTAAAAGGAACGATAGACTTCAGGTGATTGTTCATACATGACAGTTTCTTCTGTCAATGGATACTCCTTTTTTTTGTTTGACAATAGATGTCATCAATGCCTTTGCTTAAAAAGAAAAAGTCCTTTCCAACTTTGCCTTGTAGTTAGAGCCAAGAATGGTATCTATCTACTTCAGTCAAATGTCAATGATGTCAATTCTCAAAGAGCCTTTATGCAGTGCATAAAGACTTGAAAGACTGTAAATGCTCTTACTTCATTATGGATTTATGAACTGATAAAAACTATATATAAAAACGAGATATATATATATACATATATATATATGTGTGTGTGTATGTGAGTATTAAAATGCAAATATGACATTTTAAATAAGAAGGGGTGAGCTCAAGCTAACAACAACCAGGAAAGTCAAAATTAAGGCCAGTCCTCCTTTCTTCATTAAAATATTTGTGCAAAAGGAAGTTATGCACACAAAAATTCAGAGTCAGCTAAAATTTTAGCTTTCCTGGGTTTTTTTGTTAGCTTAGGTTAAAAACTTTTAACGTCGTTTTAAGTCTAGATTTCTTTTAATAATAGTTTCCTTGTTTTTAAAAGGAAAACATATCATGTGAACTGATGAGAGTTTTAATAATGACACATAACAATCATATTGTGCTTTTGGGGGCGTAGCCTGCTCTCAGTTACAGTGGTGAGCACCTGCAGTGATATCAGTTGCATTAGGGCATCCATACCAAAATCCATTGAGTAAACAGGAGTTCACAGTAAGCGAATAGCTGAAGGATCATCCCTTATAACACATTATCGTCTCTGTAAGGGTTGAAATCACCCTTCTACAGAGAACCAGCGAAGGGTCTATTTAAGCTGATTTTGAGGTCGTAAGTTGGCCTTGCACAATTCATGATTGTATTGGCAGCCCTCGGTATTAAGCAGACCCTCCCTGAGAGCAGAATTTGGCCTTCTCTGTTGCACTGTGCAAAAATGACACAAGTATTTTTATGTGATAGATTGGAATTTCCTCTGTCATTAGATGCCACAACTGGCTATTTTAGTGATTTCCCAATAACTCACATAGTCATGACGAGAGGCGGGCACTGAAGAGGGGAAGGGTAAATTCAGATCTCTTGGGTAAATGTATACTTATAATTTTTTTTTTTTTTAAAGAAAATGATCTAATATTAAAGGAAGAGATGAGATTTAGTTTTGTATTTTCTGTAGTATGGGCTTTCACAAGGTTAATACTGACCATAGTGTATGTGTCTGATTTAAGAAATACATAGATGATGAAAAAAAGGCATATTTTCCATGCATGGCCACTGGCCCGTTTGCAATTTTCGATCAGTTATAAATTTCTGAAACAACCGTTTATCCATTGCCACTGGGTGGAAAATGTTTTGTGCCAAGTTTCAGTCCAAAGCAAAAATTCTCTTCTTGGCCATCCTAAAATCCTCTTCGATTTGAGCTGGTGGGTCTCAGTCCAGTGCCTTGTGGACAAGTGTCCATATCACAGAATCCCCCCTCAACAGTGGCACGTATGAGAAGCCAGATCCTCAGCTGATGTCAATTGGGCATAACATCACCGGTGTCCATGATACCATGCCAATTTAAACAGGGGAGGATCTGACTTTATTGCTTTTTTAAATTTTTTTTTTGTTTTTTTTTGGCAGTCTCACCAAGAGAAGCCAAATGAGACTGAACTCGCCTTGGGATTCCTGGAGCCCAGGCTCAGGAGCAAGGCCAGTCGATGGGACATTGCATTGGAAGCTTGTGCTGTTTCTGTATATGCTGTATTTGTTCAGTGGCCAGAGAGAGGACTTTAGTCTTCAAGATTGTCAATCCAATACGTTTCACCAGCACTGAATTTATTAGAATAAATTATATAGCTCTATATTTAATATGTAGTATATTCTATAAACTACACCCGAACCCCTTCTCTTAGGGTTTTCTACTGGAAGTGCTGACACACTCATATAGTCTGGCATTCACCTGGCCACTCTAACACTCAGTGTTACTCGAAAGATCATACTTCAAGTGTATATAGTTACTTAAACAAGAACTCTAATGCCATTGTGTAGAGTATGCTCTTGGATATCTTTATGTTGAATGTACGCTGAAGATGCTGGATTTGTATAGTCACCACTTCTAGTGACCATCGTTTCTAAACTTCAGGATGGAAGGAACCAAAAGACAGACGTGCTTCAAAGTGTGTGTAAATATCTATTTGAGCGTAACAGTGCTTGGGGGGAGGAGGGGGGTTGTATTTTTTTTTTTCTCACTGTGAAGTATATTTTGGCGTTAGAAATTATATGTTATTAAAAGGTAATTAAAAAAAAAAAAAAGTGTGTGCTGCTCCCTGAGCCATTTTTACACTGTACCTATCAAATGTTTCCCATCCAGTTGCCTGCCTTCCTCCCTTGATGTTGTAAATATAACAGATCTTATGTCCTGCGACCTTTGTGAGCATGCCCTGCAATGGGGATTGGTGACTGTGTGTGGAAAGGGTAGAGCTGGTCCAAGAGGCGTCTTAAAATCCTGAAGTGGAAAGTCCCCTTTTAAAAAGTAGAGGGGTGAAATTCAGTCGTGCTGGACACCTACACCTGCTTTTAATCTCAGCCGGTGTTGTGGGTGCTTCTTGATGCTAAAAAAATCAAGCCTTGGCTTCATGACATAGCAAGGTCCTTTGTTGTCCTTGGCAGAGCAGAGTGGTGGTGGGGACTGGAGATGTTATGCCAGCTACTTGTGAGCTGAAGGGGGGATCTTACCTGCCATGGCCAGCTTCCAGCTGGGGAAACAGGCTCACCGCTGCACCTGCCCAGTGCTACAGTCTCCTCGGGGACTGGTGGTCTGGACCTACCCCTGCTAAATCAGCACCTGGAACTCATGTCCTGCTCACCCACCCCAAAATACACTACCACCACTTAGACACAAGTAAAAGTGACCCAAATTTCAGAGGCACTAAGAAAGAAATGGCAGGGTGTTTTGCCTAACTTCACTACTCACCGTTGAAAATTTGGATTTAAGATTTCGGCATAATTTCAGCAATATTCAGGAAGGACTTTTCTTTTGGAAGTCTGCAGTGGTTTAGCAGAAGTAGCCTTGCTACTGGTCTCTCTTCTCCTAGCAGGAGAATAGTTTAGAAGTGGTTACTGTATAAAATCTTGGAGAAAGCTTGGCTTCTTTCGTCAGGTGGCTCAGAAAAGCTTATGCATCTGTGATGCAGTTAGTCTAGAAGGTGCAAACCTACCCTGCCTTCTGTATGAAAGCTGTGAGAGCTGAAAACTTTCTGATGAAGAAAGTATCCCAGCATGTTACAGCATAAAGCATGCAGTGCCGTTACTAACTGCTTACGGGCTGTTCTTTTCAAAGGGTTTCAGTTCTGAAAGGCACTCACGGGAGAGAGTCTCAGCAGCTCCCGGAGCCCTAATGCTCTAGATCATTTGTAGCTGCCCCCCACCCAGAGAGCCTGACCCCGCAAAAAATCCAGGTTTGACTGTGTTTCATTTTTCTTCTATGAGGGTTTTTCTGCGGAGGGGGTATAATGAGCAGGCTAGGGTTTCACCTGGGAGGTCCAAGCCATGGTCCCCTGGCAGAAGGACATCAAGTCCTCTTGGATGCAACCAATTAAAACTGAAATTCTTGCTCTGCATTTTGGAAGATATTCTTAGAGTGCCACTATTGCTGACCATTATGGTGACAGGGCTGGACACATTGTCCTTTGTCTTGCAATCATACAAGTTTTCTGCTTCCTCAAGTATCTCCTAGGACTGGCAAGCTATTGACAGTCCAGGGTGGAGGTGAGCATAAAGCACAACAGTTGAGTTGTGTTTTTAGCTGCAGCTATCTGTGTAGATCTTCAAATGAGTAGCTATGTGATCTATGTCTATCTGCTACAAAGGAGTAAATGTCAATATACAGGAAATGGACTGAAC